TACTTGTGCTGTAACTAACTGCACTGGCACCTGCTGCTGCTCTCCAGGACACTTGGTGCTGGCATCGGGTACATGTGTTTTCCCTGTGCCCACTCCTCCATCTCAGCGTCCCAGTTCACGTGTCCAGAGTCTCCCCTTTGGGCCTGGTCTGGGGCCCACAGGGGCATCCTAGGAATCAGGATGGTATCAGCCAACAGTCACCGTGCACCCTCTGGGAGGCTGTGAGCAGACTTGGGTCAGGGCTTCTCAGCCTTTGTCCCACCATGGTCCCTGCCGTATCGCTTGGTCCTTCTTGTGCCATGATTTTATATCCTGGGGCCTGCTGGGGGCCCTAAGGCACTTGGTTGAGAAATACTCATCTTAGAAGACTAGCATTACTATCTTGTGTGTTCATCGGAAAAGATAGTTTTGAAATTTGCTGAACAGGGATCTCTTTCAGGGTCTGGCTCACCAGCACTGATCTTGCTGCTTTTCGTTAGCAAGTGTTTGTATGGGGAATTAGCTGTCCTTCCACAAACTTTGAAGCTGCAAGCGAAGAAAACTGCTAAGGGCCTCTCTTGTAACTGACTTCTGTATCTCAGAGGTGTGCTACTTGGAGAGCCATAAGGAAGGCCTGTTGCGCTTTCATTTTTATTTTGATTTTCTGGCTGCTCCTGGCAGTGCTCAGGGGTTTATTCCTGGCTCTATATTCAGGAATCACTGTGGCGGGCTCAGGGGACCATCTTTGGTGCAGGGGGTTGAACCCAGGTCAGACACACGAACCCCTAGTGCCCTGCCTGCCTTACTCTCACTACCCTCCCCCATATTGCACTTTGTTTTATTTTTATTTTTGGAAGGGGGTCGAGGTCACACCTGGTGATGCTCAGGGATTACTCCTGACTCTGCGCTCAGGAATCACTACTGTAAGTGTTTCAGAGATCATATGGGATACTGGGGATTGAACCCCGGTTGGCCGTGTGCAAGACAAACGCCTTACCTGCTGTACTATTGCCCCAGTCTTCTGTATTGCACTTTCTATCAAAGAAATCTTAAACTCGCCACCGTAATCTACCCATTTTAAAGGCCTCTATTTATTTTCTCAAATTTCCAAGTTATTTCTTAATTAAATAAATTATTTTTGTTTTGGGGCCACACTCAGCATTGCTCAGGGATTACTTCTGGCTCTGCACTAAGGATCATTTCTGGTGGTGCTCCTGGAATTGAATGGGATGCTGGGGATCAAACAAGGCTGTATGTGTGCAGGGCAGGCACCCTACCATCTGTACTATCGCTCTGGACCCTTTATTAGTTGATTTTAAAGTTCTCACATGAATATATTTTGAAAGCTGAGCCCGGCAAGCTACCGAGAGTATTCGATATGCCAAACACAGTAACAACAAAGTCTCCAAAGGAGACGTTACTGGGCCCGCTCGAGCAAATTGACGATCAACGGGAGGGCCTTTACCTTTACCTTTACCAAATTAATGAAGATGTTTTTTGAAAAGTATCTATTCGATATGCCAGACACAGTAACAACAAGGTCTCCAATGGAGACGTTACTGGGCCCGCTCGAGCAAATCGACGATCAACGGGAGGGCCTTTACCTTTACCTTTATCTATTTAATAAAATCTCTTAGAACTCTTAGGATTCAAAGAATCACATATTTAATTGTGTACAGATGGTGAAATGATGCCCTGAACAGATTGGTAAAGTCTGGAACTAATATAAGCTTTAATTTTTTTTTAGGTTATTAACAGGTAGTAAGTTTTTTGAAAAATTTTTATACTTAAAAGTGAAGGCATTAGGAAAAGATTTTTGGGACTGTTTTGTCCTTTCAGTGTTTTACTTTTTAATTGTTATCCTGCCAGTTACCATTAGGTGGTGATAAATGGCCAGAAACAAAATAGAAATATGGACTATAAAGACATTGGAGTAATGGAAAACTTTTTTTTCCCTCAAAAGCCTTGATCATTTTAAATTGAAAAGTTGGATATTCATATATAACCTTCTGTCACTGCCCAGCTCCCAGGTGTCCCTCTGTCACCGCCAGGTCCCCTCAGCTCCCAGGTATTCCTCTGGCACTGCCCCGTCTCCATCTTGTTATATTTGCTGGGGCGCTCTTTGTCTTTGGATGTTGCCACTGATGGAAGAAGTGGATTGCTTTCACTCCCCACCTCCTTTCAACCCAGTCTTTTGAATCTTACTGCACTTTCTGATCTGTCCTTCAAAGACCTCATTTGGAAATACTTTTGGGGCCAAAAGTTTTCCATTACTCCAGTACTACTGGAACAGGTATGGTGCTTGCCTTGCTTGTAGCTGACCCAGGTTTGATTCCTAGCACCCCATATATTCCCCCAAGCCCTTCAGGAGTGATCTCTGAGCAATACTGGGTATGACCAAAAATAGAAAAAGAAAAAACCCTAAAATGTTTTAAAGCATCATGCATCATTCCCTTCCTCCCCTTTTAAATTGTATCTACATGAGATACACAGTGACAAAGTTGTGATTGGCTTTTAGCCAAATGATGTTCCAGTACATCCTTTCACTAGCGCACATTTCTCACCACTTAATGTCCCTAGTTTCCTGCCTGCTATCCCCCCACCAGTCTGCCTTTACGGCGGACACTTTTCTTCTTTCTCACTCTCTCTCTTTACTTTTAGGCATTGTGGTTTGCATTACAGATACTGAAAATATATCATGCATATCACTTTATCTCCTTTCAACACCCAGTTTTTATCCAGAGTGATCATTGTCATAGTGGTCCCTTCTCTATCCTAACTGCCCCTCCTCCCATCCCTTGTGGCAAGCTTCTGATTTCCTGAACCTCATTTCTACTATTATTGGGTATTAGTCTCATACTGCATTAACATATGCCTCAGAGACCTGGGACCTACGAACACAGGATGAGAACACTATTTGGGCTTCCCAAAGAGGAATCGAAAGAGCTATGCTTGGAGTATCACGTTGCACTCAAATGAGAAAAGGAATCCGGAGTTCCCGACCTCTGTTGATGGTCAAGAATCAGGGATGCTGTCTCGTTTGCCAAGGCGTTGAAAGTCAGATGAGCTGGACACGTAATGAGATATGGAGATGACTGCTGGACTAGAGCCATTACTGACTGGATTCCACAGGATGTTAAAAGTCTGCGTGGTCGCCCACCTACAAGATGGTTAGACTTCTTCGTCAAGACCCAGAACAATCAGTTTGAGGCTCTTCATGTTCCTAGAACGAACAGACACCATTGGGCTACACTAACAACGCGACAGGGATGAATGGAGACGTTACTGGCGCCCACTCAAGCAAATTGATGATTAACGGGAAGTCAAGTGATCAAGTCTCATATTGTGCTTTTTCATATTCTGCAAATGAGTTTGGTCATTCTGTGTCTGTCCGTCTTCCTCCGACTCATCAGCATGATGCTCTCCATGTCCATCCATGTATAATTTAATGACTTCATTTTTCTTAGCGATTGCATGGTGTTCCATTGTGTAGATGTACCATAGTTTCTTTATCCACTCATCTGTTCTCAGGCACTTGGGTTATTTCCAGATCCAGGCTGTCGTGAATAGTGTTTTAAGCATCATTTTAAATTAGTGCGCTCTTCAATGACTCACTTAACAAGAGGCCTTAAGGCGCCGGGAAGTCTATACTTTATCATGTCAACTTCCAATATTAATTGTGCATCCTAGTCAAATAATAGAGCTCTAGTAATTATGAAAACCTTAAAGCATACTGTATTAAAAAACTAAAAAATAGTTTTTTTCTTGGTGTCCAAATAGAATTAATCCTGTGTATGGCATATGATGGTATGTTCAATATTAATTTTGTATAAAATTGTATTATATTAAAATATTTATTGATTTTTCATCTACATAGATTGCAAACTTTGCTGTAAAATATTATTTTAAATGTTTTAAAAAATTTACATTTAACATTCAAACACCAGTCCCACCACCATTACACCTTTCCACCTTTCCACCATAATATTTTGCGTGTTTCTGTCCTGCTCCCCAATCCCTGCCCCAAAGCAGAACTGAAATAATATATTTTGTATTGTTAGTTATAAAAAAACTGCTGAAAATGCTACAAAAAAGTATCCTCAGAGGAAAGAGTGTGAAGTTTGTTGTATTTTACCCAGGGGACCATTAAGCCTTTCTATAAGAGATCACTAACATGTTGTTAAAGGTTGAGCCTTGTGTGCTTTTTATATATGCATCTATAAAAAAAAAAGTATATTCCCTCTAAGATTGGTTGCCTCCTACTTTGAACCCTATCAACTGTGGTGCTGTAATCTTGGAGTACGGGAAGGGTGTGTTGTTTGAAGTATCCAGTGGCCGCGAATGCAGCTGTGCAGTCCAGGAATAGGTTCACTACTGGGTGATGCTCTGCCCAAGTGTGTGGGGAGAGGCTATGAACTTGGCAGCGGCTGGGTTCTGGAAGTTGTTGGCTGCCGGAGTGGGGTAACTTGGGGCAGGGAGGGGTCTCACAAGCCCCCTCCGGGGTGCCCTGAGTGAGAGCCTGGCACGGGGTCCGGTGGTATGGCTATGGTGAGCCTCATGTTATGCTCTCTTCCGGGAGAGAAGGTCATGCAATCTGGATGTCGCTGGTGATGAGATCCTCTGGTGCCAGCCAGTCAGACGTGGCTTATGGGTATGGCTGCCGAGTTGCCAGAGACAGGGGCATAGGGATGGAGGATCTACATTCCTGGTCCCGTTGAACCCAGAGTTCTTAGTCACAAGGTCCTGCATACCTTTTTTTTTTTTTTTTCTGGAGATTCACTCAGGATTGAGGCTTGGCCCAAGTGTGTGGAGAGTGGCCTTGAGCATGGCGGAGGCTGGAGGTTGTCAGCTGCTGGGGCTGGGTCCCTTGGGGTAGGGAGGGGGGTCTCACCCGCCCCCCCTCCAGGGCACCCCAAGTGAAACAGCCTGGCACAAGTGTCTGGCGGCATGGTTATGGCAAGTGTCATGTTATGCTCTATTTTAAATGTTTGTGAGTAATATTTACTCCCTCCCACTCACAGCGTAAAAGAGCAGTGGACCTGAATGTCAAAATCTTGGATCTGAGCAGTACATTTCTTATGGGAGCTAACTTTCCCAATAAGATTGAGAAGCAGCTCTTGCCTGAGCACCTCCGCCGGCACTTTATGCTTGCTGGAGAGCATGTCGTAATCGATGGCCTGCATGCAGAAGCCCCCGATGACTTGGTACGTGATTTCTGTTTTCTCTCTGCGCACAGCTGATCTGTGTGCCAGTGCTGTTTGAGCCTCAGACTCAGTGATGGTAGATTTATTTGTACCTTTGAAAGTGTACTGAGTCCTAAACATTTCATATGGGACTTATAAGTCTATAAATGTCTTTAATAACAAAAGTAGTTTATGTATAAAGAATTCACTTAAAAATATGATAAATGTTCACAAGTGGATTGACTTTTTAGACTTTAGTTGTTTAATGCCTATAAATATTGACTTTGTCTGGCTAAAGAATTTTTAGTGGTATTTTTATGATAGACATATGCATTGGATAAAATTTTGTCCTACTGTACTCTACAACAGAAATATCTAGTTGGGTAGCTTTTTGTACCTATTCTATTTTATGAATCTAAATGTTTTCTTTATCTTATATAAACCATTATTTTGTATTTTATTATCTAAAAAAATTTTTAAATTTTAACATTTTAAAGTAGTGATTGCCTGCAGTTTATCAGAGCAAGACTATATTATTATTGCATAGCATTTTGTAACATGGTATTTATATTTATGCAATATATATGTGATTATATACTTTTTAAACATAGGTACGAGAAGCTGCTTATAAAATTTTCCTTTATCCCAATGCTGGTCAACTTAAATGTTTGGAAGAGCTGCTCAGTAATAGAGATCTTCTGGCAAAATTAGTAGGGTATTCCTCATACTCCCACAGAGCTCTCCAAGGAACCATAGCTAAAAATCCAGGTAAGCATGTTTTTATCCAATTTTTAAGAACACTATAGAAATTTGGTAAAAGTAAACTTTTGATTTTAAATAGCTATAAATTCACTGTGACTGTCACTGTCATCCTGTTGTTCATCAGTTGCCTCGAGCAGGCCCTAGTAATGTCTCCTTTATCCCAGCCCTGAGATTTTAAAAAGTGCCATATTCCAGGCTCTTTCAGGGTCAGGAGAATGAGACCCATCATTGTTACTGGTTTTTGGCATATTGAATACACCACGGGGAGTTTGCCAGACTCTGCCGTGTGGGCAGGATACTTTTGGTAGCCTGCCAGGTTCTCCAGAGTAAGAACTAAATAATAAGATGTCGCGTGGCTGTGAATACGGCCATGCACTTCCGGGAGCAGGGTTTTATAGTCTCTGGATCTTGGCCGTTGATGGGATTATACGGCGCCGGGAGCAGTTGGTGGGTGTAACACCTACATACTGGAAGATGGAGGATCTGGGTGGAGGAGACCCCAGTTCCAATCCGAGTAAGCTTGGAGATCTAAACCCCGGGTCTCGCACACCTGGGTTCCTCTGCTGGTTCCTTCATGTGTGAGGCTCATCCGAACACGTGGAGAGTGGTCTTAAGCATAGCTGTGGCTGGAACCGGAGGTCTTCAGCTGCCGGGACTCTGCTCGGGGTGGGGAGGGAAACGCAACCCACCCTCCTTCAAGGGGCCCCGGTGAGGAGGTGAGGACAGTCAGGAGCAGAGGCAGGAGACTCCATAAATTAGCCTCCTTAATTGTTTTGTGGGGTTGAGGGGAATGGCACTCCTGTACTCTAGGTCATTTCTGGGGATAATCTGGGGATTATGTGGTATAAGTCATTGAACCCAGGCCTCTCACATGCAAAACACTGGCTTAAACCTTTGAATTATCTCTTTGGTCCCTTGTGTTATATTTTTCAATATCTATTTGGACTCTTTTCTTAAGATTTTTCTGCATCTTTAGATAGGAAGGGTTTATGTTTATTTTTGCATACCTGGCGGTGCTCAGGATACCACCTATGGTAACAGGAATCTGACTGAGGGTTAGTTGCATACAAAGTGAGCACTTTACCCCATGTAGTTTCTCTCCAGCCCCAGGAAATTTTTTTTTTAATAGAGTTGATAATTTGAAATTTATTTTTATCTAACAAAAGAGCTTTTACTTCATGTGCATCTTGAGAATAAGTCATACTCCACATTCTCATTCATGCCAATGTAAATTATTTTTATTTGAACTCCACTGGTGATACTGGTGGTTTGATTCACTTGCGGATAGTCTGTGGAGTGTAAGGTTTAGTGTGGGCTCGGTTTGATGGAAACACAGCCACATGCTCTTTCAGAGAGCAGAGTGCTGCATCAGGTGAGGGCGATGTCAGCTGCTCGACATCGGGAGGATATAGCCTTACTGTTCCTTTTCGTTATTTACGTGTGATAAAGTACAGAGATGTGAGATGATAGTAAGTTAAGTAGAGCCTGCTCCGCTACATGGTTAAAGGTGGGATTTGCTTTAGATACTGGTCAGAAGCTGAGTGGTCATGATGGCCAAGCTGTTTGGCAGAATCTGGGGAGGAATTGCTTAAACTGCGTGACTGGAGAGACTGGGCTGGGCATCCTCGCTTCTATTCTGACAGTGTCTGGGGGTGCAGAGGGATCCTATACTGGCTCTGTGTGGGAGGAGGACAGAGCCTTAACCTGTCTGGTCTTCGGCCTTCCCAGCATTTCCATAACTCCCCCTCTTTCATCTCTCAATCAGCCAGCCAAACCGATAGCTCAAGGACGGGATGCTTCACCGACGGCCCTGTGGTACCGGGACATCCAATTTCCTCGGGATGCTTAGGGGTCTCAGGGCTGCTTGTGGAGATGCTCAGGGACTAAGTGGTGCTGGGGGTCGAGCCAGGGTCGTCAGAGTACAGGGCATGTACCTAAACCTCTGTACTTTTCTCTGGTCCTCAGTGCTTATATTTTTAATGGCCTGATTTTGCTTATTTAATCTTAGTTTTAAATCTTAGTATTGATTTAATCTTAGTATTGATACTGAACGATTATTCTACAGATGTTTATAAAACTTTTTTTTGTTTATTTGGGTCAACACCTGGTGATCACAGGGGTTACTCCTGGCTCTGCACTCAGGAATTACTCCTGGCAGTGCTCAGGCGATAGGATATGGGTTGTTGGGAATCGAACCTGGGTCAGCTGCATGTAAGGCAAACACCCTACCTGCTGTGCTATTGCTCCAGTCCCTGTTTATAAAACTTAGTTTAAAAAAGTTACCCAGAAATAGAATAGATCTTAAAAATCTATTTGTAGTGACTCATTCTTCTACATTATATTGATATTTTTATGAACAGTTTTTTAATTGTTAAAATAAAAATTGTTATCAGTTGTTACAATTAATAAATTTACAATTATGACTCCTATAAGAAACTCCCGCTGCCATTTACCTCTTTTCTCTTAGACATATGAATAAGTAGATACACATTTAAAGTTTGGGTTTTTTTTCTTAGCCTCCCATTAACTTTTTTCATTGTCAGGTATGATCTAAAGATATGGATTTTTACTGGATTAGATTGTTTCTCTGATAAAAGAGAATATCATCATCTAGAAATACCATGTGCCTTGTAAATGTTAGCAGTTCTATTTACTTTTGAAAGTCATTGCTTTAAGGGCATCCGATGTATAGAGTATTATCATCCTATGTTTTAGCAGGTAAGTTAATTTTTATTTTTGTAATTAAAGGTATTTTCTTTTGGATTTTACTTTTAGAGACTGTCATGCAGTTCCTTGAGAAACTATCTGACAAACTCTCTGAAAGGTTAGTTTCATTCTGTTATTTAAAGGATATATCTTTTTGTTTGTTTTTGTTCTTTTGGACCACACCTGGCAGTACTGAAGACTTACTCCTGGCTCTGTGCTCAGGAATCACACCTGGTGGCATTGGGACTGTGTGTTCTGCTTGGAATTGATCTAGTGTTGGCCATGTGCAAGGCAAACGCCCTACCCACTGTACTATCACCCCAGTACCCACACCCTGGCCTTAAAAAAGTGTTTGTAAGACTTGATTCATTAAAAATTAGATGTCAAGAGTTTAGTATTGGGGCCAGGGAAGTGACTCAGAGGTAGTGTGCTTACCTTTGTATCTGATGCTCCAAGGGTCTAACCCAGCAACATAAAAGAAAAAAGAAAAAAAAAAGAGGGCGGGAGGGAGGGAGCGAGGGAATTACAGTTTTGACTGTTGGATCGAATCTGTGAACTATTCTGCTAGAGATTAATCAAGTAATTTTCTGTTGGAATTTATCAATTAATTTTCTTAAGAAACCCATCACTGATGTGAAATTAAAAAGTATTTTCAACCATTTAAAAATATTTATAAACATGTATATATGTTAAGTTGTACTATGAGTTTTATAATGATTTCATCTTTTTTTAGACAAATTACAGGCAGTGAAACAGTTCCTGTAAGATAGTTGATGTTGGCTTTTTTTTTTTTTACATTTGTTTTCACTTTTATTTTTGCTTTGGGTTTTTAACTCCATTTTATTTACTTGTACTTTTATAAGGTTATTCACAATAATTTATTACATTCAATATTCCAACACCAGTTCTACCACCATTGCACTTTCCCACTGTAGGATAACATTGGTTCGTCCTTTCTGCCTTGCCATAGGGAGCTTAGGTTTAATGGGTTACTCCCATCACAGTGCTCCCATCCCTCTGTGTTTACTTGTAACTTCTTTCTTAGTGCTCTGTTAACTTGTAAATATTGTTTTTCTCTTGTTAAGTCCTTTGCATAGTTAATTCATAGCAAAGTCCTTTTTGTGTAGATACAGGAAGACAGTTAATGCTATGCTTTTGTAACTCGGGAAGTTAATTAACTCCGAATGATATTCACTCCTGGACATCTGTTATCTCAGTGTTAGCCTCTGTTGCCCTTACTCCCAGCATCCCCAAAGCAGGGTCCCAACTAGGAACTGGATGGACCCAGGGCAAGCAGTGAGTTACCCTGGCCAAAGCACCCTAATACTTAACTATAAGTTAAGAGCATGGTCATGGACAAATTCTGTCATGATCCAAAAAGTAACATCTAGATTAGAACGGTGCTAGGGTTAGGAAAGATTAATCTGGCCTGAGCACTATAGTCTGAGATCTATAGCGAAATGTCCCCAGGAGAGCCACCCTACAAGCTGTTACTGTATCCATACAAAATAACTAATATTAAGAAGTAGAATTAAGATGTTAATTGTTACTGGACTAAGGAAAGGAGAAATACACTTAGGTGGTAATTCTGCCCTGAGCCTGATCAGGAAGGGCTTTTGATATGTTGATTGTGCTACAGGGTGTGTGGGGAGTTGGAGAGAGAGCAGAAAAAGACCAGGGCAGCATGATGGAGTGCGGAGAGACTAGCAAGGGGGACGGAGGGAGAAGAATGTAGGGGAAGAATGTAGGGGCAGGCGCATGGAGAGATGAGAGACAAGGCAGCGAGATGGAGCGTGGAGAGATGAGCAGGAGAGACAGGAGGAGACGGGAATGAGGGGCAGTGTGAGACTAAAGTGGGGGGCTTAGTGAGGCTGGAACAGGCGCTGGGGAAGAATGGAATAAACGGCAACTGATCACCAACCAGCCTGGTGTCCTTGTTTCCTACTTTGTCTGCCTATGGCATTGGCTGTCCTGGGTGTGGAAATGGCCAAATCCAGCAACCTCAGGGAAGGGGGGGGGAGAGAGCGAGAGAGCGAGAGAGCGAGGGAGCGAGAGCGCGAGAGAGCGAGAGAGTGAGAGAGAGAGAGAGAGAGACAGAGAGAGAGATAGGAGAAAAGAGAGACATGTATGTGTCAAGATCCATTTTAAGGAAGAAACTGGTGAAATACTGCAATTTCGTACATAAAAGATTTACTTACATTACATCTGTCATGTATATTAGAAGGTAATACAAGCAAATGCACTCTTTTATAACATAATTAATTATTTTTCTAACAATTGACAAATCTGTTTTGCAGAACTCTGAAAGATTTTGAGATGATGCGACAGATGAAAATAAAACTAAATCCTCAGAATTCTGTAAGTGACTATGTTGGAATATTTTTGTTAGACATAAACTGTCAACTGTTAGCTTTTCACTCTGGAACTCTTATGATATGTGCTCAAGGTATATACAGTCTCATTGCTGTTACCTGAGTTTGGTGAATACAGGCTTTGAGATATTTGGTCCACTAGTTGCTCACTATTTAGGGAATTGTTCACCTGTTGGTGACTTCTGAAGTCACAAAATTGTAGGAAAGACTAGCGAAACACATACTAATAAATATAATAAATAGATGAGTTCTTTTGAATTCCAGGGTGACTTTCAGTTTGTTAATTGTACTTATGTACAAGTAACTAGGGTTAGTCTTCTTCATACTTGGCTCAGTTTGTAGACATGCTTGGGTAGCTAGAAAATATGTAAGCATTTTCTTTGGTTATAGGGTATAGAAGCAAAGAGTAAAATGTAGTGCCAGAAGCTGATGCATTAAAAGCTCATATGGCGTAAAACTTAAAAATTTTTCTTGACAGTTTTGTGTAGTTTATCAACATGTTATTTGCAAATAAATGTGAAATACCCATTGGCATGAAGTGACTTCACCCCACTAGCCTGAGAATCTGTACTTTTTCCTTTGTCCTTTCTTTCTTGCTTGTTTCTTTTTTGTTTTGTTTCTTTGGAAGGGACAGGGAGTCACACCTGGATGCTCAGGGCTAACTCCTGGCTCTGTGCTCAGGAATCACATGTGGTAGTGCCTCGGGGAACAGCGATTAAACTCAGTTTGAGTATATGCAAAGCAAGCACCTTACCTGCTATACTGTTTATCCTGGAATCTACTTATCTTTGACCAGTGGTTCTCAAATAGTGTTCCCTGAAACAAAAGTAGCATCATCAGAGAACTTGTTAGAAATACAAATTCTGCAGCCTGACATGAGACCTTCTGAATCTTCTTTTTTAAAAAATTATTTATTTATGTATTTAGTTTTGCTTTTTGGATCACACTCAGCAATGCTCAGGGGTTACTCCTGGTTCTGCACTCAGGAATTACCCCTGGTGATGCTCAGGGGACCGTCTGGGATGCTGGGAATGGAATCTGGGTTAGTGGTGTGCAAGGCAAATGCTCTACCCACTGTACTACGTTCCAGCCCCTTTTAATTTTTTTAGTGAATCACCATGATGTACAGTTACAGACCTTACAAACTTTCATGATTATGTTTGTCATAAAATGATTGAATACCCATCCCTACACCAGTGTACATTTTCTACCACCAATGTTCCCAGTATCCCTCCCACCCCCCCCTCCCCTCACCTCTGTGGCAGGTACATCCCCTTTTACTCTCTCTTTCTCTCCCCTTTTGGGTGTTACGGTTTGCAGTACAGGTAGTAAGTGGTGGTCGTGTTTGGTCTATAGTCTACTTTCAGCACACATCTCCCATCCCGAGCAGGCCCTCCAAACTACATTCACTTAGTGGTCCCTTCTCTGTCTCAGCTGCCTTCTCCCCCAGCATGTGAGGTTGGCCTCCAAGCCCTGGAGCAATGCTCCTGGCCCTTATCTCTATTATCCTTGGGTGTCAGTTTCCCATTCTGTTACTTTATACTCCACGAATGAGTGCAGTCCTTCTGTGTCTGTCCTTCTCTCTCTGTCTCTTTTCACTTAGCATGATGCTCTCCATGTTCATCCACTTATGTGCAAATTTCATGATTTCATCTTTTCTAACATCTCCATATTATTCCATTGTGTATATGTACCAGTGTTTCTTTAACCAGTCATCTGTTCTCAGGCACTTGGGTTTTTTCCAGATTTGGCTATTGTAAATAGTGCTGCAATAAACATACAAGTGCAGGTGTCATTTCAACTGTACATTTTTGTATCTCCAGATATTTTCCCTGTAGTGGTTTTGCTGGGTCAAATGTGAGCTCAATTTCTGGTTTTTCGAGAAGCATCCATACTGTTTTCCAAAAGGGCTGGACCAGTTGGCATTCCCACCGGCAGTGAAGGAGAGTCCCTTTCTCCCCACATTCGTGCCAATACTGGTTCCTTTTGTTCTTTTGGATGTGGGTCAATCTTTGTGGTGTAAGATGATATCTCATTGTTGTTTTGATCTGCATCTCCCTGATGATTAGTGATGACAAGCATTTTTTCACGTGCCTTTTGGCCATTTGGATTTCTTCTTTGAGAAAGTTTCTGTTCATTTCCATCGCCCCATTTTCTGATGGGATTAGATGTTTTCTTCTTGTAGAGTTCAACCAGTGCCTTGTATGTCCTTGATATTAACGCCTCATCAGAAGGGTATTGGGTGAATATCTTTTCCCATTCTGTAGGCTGTCTTTTTTTATTCTGAGACTTTCTGAATCTTGAGATCATCTACTCTCTGTGTTTGAGTGCAGGGGTTGATTTTGTACTGAGAAGTGAGTCTATTCTCACCTTTCCATGCACATGGTCACAACCTAGACTTTGGTCATTGTTGCTCTCCTCCAGTTTATAGTCACAATTGGCAAACAAGCATTCCAGCCTTGTCAATTCACCCCCCTGTTGGCCTTCCTGGGCTGGGGATGGCTTCGCAATGTGCCATCTCTCGCACTGGTAGCATAATGTAGGGACTCAGCTTTTTCTTGCATAAAAATAATATATGAATGAATAAACCAACAAACCAGTCAGTGTGCCACCATTAAGATTTTTTTCTGGAAAACAGACCTGACCTTGTAGCTCCTGTTTAAGAGATTCCAGTGTTCCTAGTAATTCAGAGACTTGGCTTTCTGTTCATTTCTGTTCCTCTTTCCCAGCTTCCTTTCATAGTTTTTCTTCTGCCTTTCGTTTTTTTTCAAAATTTTCTAAACTTCCCTGGTAGCCACGTTAGTGTAAGACACATACATTCATTTTCCATTTTTGCCTTAGTTTCCCCTCAACATGCAGTGCACTGGGCTCTGTGGTGCCAGGAATTAGCCTGGGGTTCCTGGAGGTCCCGGGGCGTCTTTATGGCTGAGCTTGCTGTTGCTCAGGGACACCATGGTGCAGCCTGAGCCCAGTGTTCTCTCTTCACACTCCTTTTACCCTTTGGTTCCGATAGTTTTGCACAAGCACTGTGATGACTTCTGTTCACTCATAGGTCCTGTTCACAGAATGCCTTTCCCTTCGTCCTGGATTGCGTTTTCCCATTCCACAGCTCAGTTCAGGCTCATCCCTGGCAGTGGTATCCTGGCCTTCCCCTGTGTTTCGAACACTTCACAGAGCTCTGCTCTGCCTGGTGCAGCACTGCTACCATATCCTGGTTACCGAGGCCTTTGTCCTTCTGTGGCCTCCATCCTTCTTGGAGCTTTAGCTTAGGGATCAAGGATATCTTTCTGTCTCTTGTGTCTGCACTTTGCCTCATGTCTAACAGACAGTGACTGATCCTCTGTTGCAGAAGATGTGTGTCTCAGGAACTGAACTCCTAGGGTTCATAGGGGTGCTGTCTCTGCCCGTTACGGGAAAAGGAAATAAACTTACAGTAGATGTTTGGGAGAGAGGCAGCCCGGGGTGTTGCTTCTGGTGGCACTCGGGAGACTGTATGGGGGCAGACATGGGGCTCGGGCCTCCCTCACAGAAGTCTGTGCATTCTCCCCAAGCCCTGAACTTAGAGTTTTTTGTGTTGGACTGCGTGCCAGGACAGAGGATGTTCATGGAAGATGAGGAAAACCCCTTGTTTTTGGAGTTGAGGCTGGAAAGGATAATGGTTCTAAGATAGTGACATTGTGGACCTCTTATGCAGTGCCCAACACTCTGCTTAATACTTTATTAATATACATTAAATTAATGTATGTAGTATATATTCAATAGTACCAGAGGTACAGTGAATAAAATAGATTAATATACATTAATAACTATTGAGTAAATGAATAGTTAGGTTTTTGCTCCTCTTGCTCAGTGCCCAGCACTCCCTCGGCATTGAAGTGCAGTGGGCAGTAATATTTGAGAGGTGTGTTGGCTCAGTCGGCAACTCTGGTGAATCAGGTGTCATGCAAGCAGCAGGATAGAGTAGAGAAAAGGCAAAGCCCTGTCTCATGGAGTTTATATTCTAGGGAAGGAGAACAAATGACCAACGCAGGAAGAATTTGCTGTGTTGCATGGTGATTGGGATTATAGGGGGCATAATGCAGAGGAAAGAGTTTGGAGGTTGCTCTCGTAGGGATGAGCAAGTCAGGATTTCTCGAATGAGATGAGATGTAAACAGGGAGAGGAGGGGTGAGCGTAGGCTGTGGAGGCAGCGCTGGGGGTGGACTGTGAGCATTCTTGTTGGGGGCACATTTATTCAGGCTGGAGGTGCCAGTTGCTTGACTGATGGGGAAGGAAAGGAATGTGGTGAGGGGGAAATGTAGGACGGGAGGACAGTGGCCGGCAGAGACCCAGCAGGGGAAGGAAGTGGCACTGCATGGTGAGCAGAAAGGGCTTTTCTGCATCCTACATGTGAGGGGAGTGTCTTTCTGAAGCCTGCAGCCAGGCTTCCCAGCTGCTCCCCTCACCCAGTCTGCTTGGGCCCTGAGCCCTTGCTGCTTTTGCAGGGTTCTGGACCAGATGTCAAGAACTATTACCGGAGTTCTTCATGACATATTTTCTTTGCTAAGATTAGAGTTAATGCTGCCTTCATTATATTTTAAATTGTTGCTTTCACTCTTGGCATCCACCTTAAGCTACTTGCTTAGATTTCGAAAGAACCCTAATCTTACCTTTGAGTACCCTAATCTTACCCTATCTGTCTTATGGATAATACAGGGTTATACTTGGGAAAAACTTTCAACCAGGCTATACTAATCCAGATTATGTTACAGTTTAGAATGATGTCTGTTTACCTTTCCCTTACATTCTGGGATTATGCCTTTATACTTCTCCACTCACTGATTGCAGGAAAGTACCATTGAAAATGAAGAGACAGATACGTCCTGCCAAATCATGAGTTTCTACAAAACTTTTCTGATAAAGTATCAGGCTTAACATTCTACAAGCTGGCTAAGTAATGGGTGAAATTATATAGCTTGTTGCTTTGGTAACTATAACTTACTCCCTTGTAGGAACTAATGCCCTGGGACCCCCCTTACTACAGCGGCGTGATCCGTGCAGAGAGGTAAGTTGGTAGAGAAATGCTCCTGGGAAGGAAGAGGGAAATAAGCATGGAGGATTTATGCACTGGGATTCTGCAAATTCTCCTTGTGCCAGAGCCCACACATAAGCCGATGGGTGTCCTCTCCAAGGCAGGACCTGTCCTGGCTGGGTCAGTGAACTCCTGAGTTTTCACAGTACAGACTCTGCACTCTGCTTTCTGTTAGGGCAGCAGGCTTCCCCCACCCCCAGGGCGCTGCCCTCCCACAACTGTGGACGTTTTCATTAAGACTGTGGTCACTTGGGAGGCGGATGGGCTCCTGAGAGGTGGTGAAGTGTTATGCATGAAACCCTATCAGTAACAGTGCTGTGAACCACAATGCCTAAAATTTATTTTAAAAAGTGCCAATTCAGAGGCAGGCTGGGGGTCGGAGGGAAATTGAGGACATTCGTGGAGGGGTGTGGACACTGGTGAAGGGATGGGTGTTGGAATATTGTGTGCCCGGAATCCAATCATGAGTGACTTTATAATCCAGGGTGACTAAAATAAAAATAAAAATTTCCTCTTAAAGAATTATCTGGCACAGACTTGAAGAAAAGGAGCAACCATCAAAAACAAAACAGACACAATAACTGAAAACACCTTGGCCCCCTCTCCTGGGCTGAAGTCTAGTGCCTGCCTGCATATTTTCCTACTTCTCTGTCTACCCTGCAAGCTGAGATCACGTTGAAATACTTACTGTGTCCCATTTCTGGGGCTCAGCAAATATTTGTGAAACCAGCAAGGCAGTACTTGGCATAGTGCTATGTGATTTTCTTATGTTTTCTCATTTTTTATTCGAACATATTGGCAGTACATTATTGGCACATCTGAAGGGGTATAAATGAAAGAAAGACTTAGGAAACTTAAGTTGATTGAAGTACTTCTCTGGCTTCTGTATTCTGTGTTTATTGCATTGTGGCAAGGTCGTAGAACTGATTTTCTCCCCATAAGTATACCCTTTCTGTAATTTTTATATATTTGCATGTAAATTCCCCCAAATTTGGAAGCCTGTTCACAGTGAATGCATTTAGCACTGTTTATGCTTTTTGCAATTTTATAGTAGGCATTGAAAATACTCAGATTCCTATCCTGGAGCAAAGCCTTAACATTTTCTTATTTTTCATTTTTGAGAGTTAAGATTAATTTAGGTAATGAAAAAAAATTATCTGGAAAAGCTCTGTGTCTTTTTCTTCTTTAAGCATGTTGCTGCCTATTTATTATACCTTCATATCTCTATTGTTTCAGCTTTTTGCTACTGGGATTGTGGAATTGCTTTCTGTCCACCCCCCACCTCTTGTTTGGTTTTCACAAGTAGAGGAAGAATTTTATTAGTAACTATCCAGCAGGTTGGAAGAAGGTAGTTTCACACCCTGAAACTTATTGTCTTGCCTGCATGGTCCCAGGAAGTGGTTTGCAGGTTAAAAGCAGGGACTCATGCGGCTCTGTGGCAGCCTGCTGGTGCTGGCGGCCAGCACACTCTGCTGAACAGAGATTCTTTTGTTTGTTTGGGGGCCAGGTCTGGAAATGCTCATGGGGCTCACTTCTGGCTCTGTGTGTGTGTGTGTGTGTGTGTGTGTGTGTGTGTGTGTGTGTGTGGACTCCTGGTGTACTGGGGATCCTGCCATGAGGGGCTCCAACCTGTGCCTCGTGTGGGCAGTGCAAGTGCTCAGCTCCCTGAGCCCAGTCCCCTGGCCCTTGAAGATTTTTTTTATAAGAATACTTTATTTATTTATTTTTTTCATTTTGGTTTTCTTTTTTTTTTTTTTTAATTTTTATTATTGAGACACCATGAGGTACAGTTGTAGACTTAAAAATTTTTGTGCTTGGGTTTCAATTATACAATGATCAAATACCCATCCCTCCACCAGTGCCCATTCTCCACCACCACTGACCCCAGTACCCCTCCCACACCCCTAACCCCTCCCCCCCCCCCCCCCCCCCCCCGCATTCTCTTTTGTTCTCTCTCTCCTTTTGGGTGCTGTGGTTTGCAAAAGAGGCATTGAGTGGCAATCATGTTCGGTCTATAGTCTACTCTCATCACGCATCTCCCATCCTGGGAGGACCCTCCCAACACCCTTTATTTAGTGCTCCCTTCTCTATCTGAGCTGCCTTTTCCTCTAGCATGTGTGGCTGGCCTCCAAGCCCTGGGGGGAACCTCCTGGTACTTATCTCGGCTATTCTTGGGTGTTAGTCTCCCATTTTGTTACTTTATGTTCCCCAGATGAATACAATCTTTCTATGTCTGTCCCTCTCTTTCTGACTCATTTCCCTTAACATGATACTTTCCATGTAGTACCACTTGTATGTAAATTTCATGACTTCATCTTTTCTAACAGCTACATAGTACTCCATTGTGTGACTGTACCTTGAAGATTTTTGACTGAGCGTTACCCTCTTCCGGACTCCTAGCTGGTAGGGGCTGGGGGAGGACAACATAAAAGAAATGTCCCATGCATTCTGTGGACACTGACTAGCTGCTCTCCCTAGCCTCACGTCTTCAGCGCCTACATTCACCTGCAGTGCGGCCTGCTAAGGCCTCCCTAAGTCTTTGTTAGACACCCCTGCCCAGACTGCAGAGTTGTTAGGAAAGGACACCGTTTATTGGAACTGACCCATTAACCTCAACCTTAAGCGTAAGTGATATATTTGTCCTTTAGCTCTAGCTCTTTCTTGTTTTGTTTTGTTTTGGGGCCACATCCAGGGATCACTCCTGCCTCTGTGCTCAGGGTTCACTCCTGGTAGGGTTTGGAGGAGCATATGTAGTGCCTGGGATCACACCTGGGTCAAGTCCACACGCAAGGCAAGTGCTCTACCTGCTGTACAGTCAGTGGCCCTAGCTCTGTTTTTTTAAAAAAAATTATTTTTAAAGTTTAGTCACTGAAATTACAAAGTTGTTATGATTGGGTTTTAGGCAGACAATGTCAACACCAATCCCTTCACTAGTGTCTTCTTCCCTCCACCAATACTTCCTCTAACCCCCTTTACCTCCCACCCACATATATATGTGTGTGTGTGTGTATATATATATATATATATGAATATATATATGTGTATATATATATATTTTTTTTTTGGCCTGTGGTTTACAGTGTTCTTGTTCATAGGGTTTCATGCATAATGCTTTTACCTCCTCCTTCTAGCTGCTCCCAGTTGAACGCTTCCTTCCACCATAGGTGTTGCCCCCACCTGGTTCTGACCCTCACCACCCTCAAGTGGCATGTTTCGTACCACTGAATACCAGTCAGATAATCTCGTCATCGGCCACCATCCAGATCGCACATCCTTCTTCACTATTATGTTTCCATATGTCCCGCACACGAGAGATCATTCTGTGTTGGTCTCTCTGCCTCTAACTACACTCAGCGTGATATTCTTCAGGTCCCTCCATGTAGCAGCAAATTTAATGGCTTTCCTTTTTTATTGTGGCCAATAGTAATGTTCTGTTGTGTATATATACCATAGTTTCTTGATCCAGTTATTTGTTCTTGGACACTGGGTTGTTTCTAGATTTTGACGATTGTGAATAGTGCTGTAAGAAACAGAGGGGTCCTTGCTCTGTATTTTTTTCAGTTTTTTAATAAAGTATTTCACAATATTTTATTGCATTTAATATTCAAACATCAATCCCACCACCATTACACCTTCCCACCACCATATTTCAGATATCTCCATCCCAGACCCCAACCCCTGCCCCAAATCAGAACTGAAATAATATATTTTGTATTGTTTGTTATGAAAAAACACTGAAAATGCTACAAAAAATATCCTTAGAGGAAAGAGTGTGGAGATTTTTGTATTTCACTGAGGGGCTATTAAGCCCTTCTATAAGAGATCACTAACATGTTGTTAAAGGTTGAGCCTTGTGTGCTTATATATGTATATAAAAAAGCATTTCCCTCTAAAATTAGTTGCCTCCTACTTTGAACCCTATCAAATGTGGTGCGGTACTCTTGGATATGGGTAGGGTGTGTGGTATGCAGTGTCGTGCTGCTGTGAATGTGGCCTTTTGTTCCAGGAATAGGTTCACTCATGGTTGAGGCTCAGCCCGCGTGTGTGGAGAGCAGCTGTGAGCATGGTGGCAGTTGAGTTCTGGAGGTTTTCCGCTGCCGGGGGTGGGTCCCTTGGGGTGGGGATGGGCGCCCCAAGTGAAACTGGTGTGGGGTCCAGTGGCATGGTTATGGCGAGTGTCATGTTATGCTCCCTTCTGGGAGAGAAGGATGTGTGATCTGGCTGGTGGCTGATGAGGAGATTATCTGGCACCAGCCAGAGATGGCTTATTGGGCGTGAGTGCTGAGTTGCTGGAGACAGGGCTATGGGCAGAGGATCTCCGTTCCTGGTCCTGAACACAGTTCTCAGTCACAAAGTCTGGTTTTCTGGGGATTCACTCATGGGTGAGGCTCGCCCGAGCCTGTGGAGAGCAGCCCCTTGCTCTGTTTTTGAGTGTAGCAATCTGAAATGGTGGTTCTGTGGAAATTACTTATGAATATTTGAATATTTGGGCTGGAGTGATAGTACAGCGGTAGGGCGTTTGCCTTGCACGCAGCCAACATGGCCGATCCGAGTTCGATTCCTCCGCCCCTCTCGGAGAGCCCGGCAAGCTACCGAGAGTATCTCGCCCGCATGGCAGAGCCTGGCAAGCTCCCCGTGACGTATTCGATATGCCAAACACAGTAACAACAAAGTCTCCAATGGAGACGTTACTGGGCCCGCTCGAGCAAATCGATGATCAACGGGAGGGCCTTTACTTTACTTACTTTTACTTGGAAAGATAGAATCAACTGGAATTTGAAGTTGATGAGTTGCCAGGGAGATAGCTCAGAACGCTCCTCCATATTCCATCCTTGGCACTGAGCATCTGTTGGTTTTCTTCTGCAGAATGGTTCACTTTGAGGGATGTTTTTTTAAGTTCTTTAAAAGCTTTTGAAGGTGAGTTTTTCCTTTAGACATCACTAAAGGAGACATTCCTGGAAAATGCAGCAGAT